CAAATGTGACAACATAGTTCAGGAAGCAACTGTGTCTGATGGTGAACAGTGACTGTGGTTGAATTTGGATCTCTGGAATAGGGCTCTGAATGTCTTCTTTCACAAAAGGGCTTTTTATGGAGGTGCCTTTATCCTCCGATTTGGACGGAACCTGATGTGTTTACAGTATATTGTCTAGAAAGCCACAAGGATGTGGAGCCCCACTTAGGGATTTTTAGGTTTGTCATCTGTTTTCTATCAATAATAGCAGAAGGTTAAACTTAGGATCATCACTTATTACATTTTATTTCCAGTCACTATTGCATAAGTAGTTAAATCAAACAAGAAAAGAGTCTTGCAAAATTATATTTCAGCTGTTAATCTATGATTTGTCTACTGCTCTGTAGGCAGTATTTTTAAAATATTTCAGGAAAACGGGGCGCCTGGGTGGCGCAGTCGGTTAAGCGTCCGACTTCAGCCAGGTCACGATCTCGCGGTCCGTGAGTTCGAGCCCCGCGTCAGGCTCTGGGCTGATGGCTCGGAGCCTGGAGCCTGTTTCCGATTCTGTGTCTCCCTCTCTCTCTGCCCCTCCCCTGTTCAGGCTCTGTCTCTCTCTGTCCCAAAAATAAATAAACGTTGAAAAAAAAAATTTAAAATATTTCAGGAAAACATGATATGCACATATCCTAACTCATAGAGCATTTAAGAGAATTATTCACATTTTGAAAAGGCTTATTTCCTTCACAAAGGAATTCCTCTGGGTTCTTCTGTATAGTTATCTTTGAGCCAGTTCAAATGTTACTGCAACACCTTTGGGCAAAGAAGCTTGCCTCAGAATTCAGGAGGTTGGCTGCTTTCCAACTATGTTCATGGAGACCTGATCCAGGGACTGAGTACTTCCTATTCTTTCTGATAATCATGAAACAACTGTTCCAATTTTGGGAATCTTGGCATAATATATTAGGAAAATACTAAATGAGAAATAAAATTAGGTTCTAGTCTTGACCCTTCACCTCCAATGATGTGAATTGATTCAAGACATTTAACCATTTTGAGTCATCCTTGGAAAAACTTTAAGGCTGTGCATGTATATGACTATTAAGTATCTTTCCTTTGCTAATATTCAATAACTTAGGACCATAAGGTGAAAAAGTGCATGTAAATAAGCTCTGTAATTATAAAACACAACATAGATGTTATCTTTACCATTTATGATGTGAACTATTTAATTTACAGAAAGCCAATTGGCATTAAGTTTTCAGGAAGATATTCATTACAATGTACACCTATATAATGATCAAGATGGGGAGCTTTTAAACGCATTGTTGTATCATGGATTGGATCCAGAACTGAAAAAAAGTGACATTTGTGGAAAACTGGTGAAATCAAAATATATAGTTATATAATAGTATTGTACCAATATTAATTTCTTTGACAAATGTATCACGGTTATGGAGGATGTTATCTTTAGGGGAAGCTGAGTAAAGTGTACACAAAAATTCTCTGTCTTACCTTTGCAACTTTTCTAATTTTAAATTTCTAATATTATACCAAAATAAATATTTAAAATAAAATTATTGTGCTACACCTTTGGAATATAACTATGCATTCATACATACATATATGAATATATATGTGCCACATGAACAACAGAAATAAAGGAAAGAGACAGTGGGTCTTTGACAGATCAAAGTTGAGAAGGGAAGTGAGCCAGGAAATCACAGAACTGAAACCACCATATTTTTTTTAACATTTCACAGAAAAGAGAGCTCTTTGAAGTTAGAAAAGTTTTACTGAAAGCTGTGAGAAAGAAAAGATAAACTTGGACTAAGAAAGTAAAAATCTGCCTTGCTATTCATCAGATATAGATAATAGACACAAATAAAGTAAGCTGTAAAATTAACAGAAGATAATACTTTTCTCAAAAACATGCTGCAAAGTGTCACAAAAATTTCCAACTTTAGTTAATGCCACATTTTTTACTCACAAAGAATCCTTTTCTCTAAAATCAGAGTGTCAAAAACCTTGTTCTTTGAAATCAATTCATTAAGATTAAAATATCCTACTCTTGGTGATGATCTAAATCACTTAATAGAGAAGCATGCTCTACTTTCAACCCTAGGACAGAACTTCAGAAAACAGTTATGTGGATACATGACACATCTATGTTAGCTGCAATTTTCAAGAAAATAGCACCTGGAATCTATGATGGAGTCCAGACCTAATTTAGACACCTTTACAAACAGCCTCACTTTCTTTTGAGCCTACAAAATACTTCTTTAATTTCTCCTAAACTCCACACTTCCCCAAATTCCTATAATAAATATATATTCTCCTTTGTTTGGTGAGGCATCCCATAGTTCTGGAATGTGGACTCCTTCCTTGCAATGAACCAAAAAACTGACTTTCTTGAAATACAGGGTTTTTTTTTTACTGATGGATTTAGGCTTCTTGGACGAGGAAGCCTGCCTCATACTAAAAGTTCAGGATAATAATTTCACATAAAAATCAACAACAAAAAAGTATCAAGTTCAAATACTATATAAAACTATTATTTAAAAAGAGAATAAGGAGCATAACATCATCATTATATATAATGAAAACATATCTGAAAGATGTACGACAAAAATAGATCAGAACTTGTAAGTTACTATTTTTAGTTTTTTTGAGAGGGAGGTGAGGGAGAGGGAGAATACCCAAGCAGGTTCCATGCCCAGCACAGAGCCCCTATGGGGCTCCATCTCACAACCCTGGGATTGTGACCTTGAGATCATGACCTGTAGGTGCCCCTGTAAGTTACTATTTTTAAGCTAACTAAACAAAAAAGATACAAAGTAGGAAAGAACAATATGATTCAGAATTAGAAAAACTCAACTCCATGGCAGGCATCTGTTCACAATTTTTATTAATATCAAATCATCACATTGTACACTTTAAGTATCTTACAATTTTGTCAATTACCTCAACAAAAATGGAGAAAAACTCACAAATGCGGTGCCAGACCTCAGGAGAATTAATAATAAAGAAAAAACAGGAAGTGGGGTAAGTGGGATGCATAGAATGGGTGAAGGGAATTAAGAGGTACAAACTTCCAGTTATAAAATAAATATGTCACAGAGATGAACAGTACAGCATAATGAGTATAGTCAGTAATATTGTATCAACATTATAAAAGAAAAAAAAGAATAAACTAGAAGGAACACAAAAGCTAAGGCATATAACAGATTATGATTTCCTGTGAAGAACGTGAGCCAATCCTTAGGTTGATGTTTCCCTACTCATTTTGGTTGTCTGATGCTCATTCTCTAGTAATTCTTCAGGAAGTGTTCATGACAACGATAGCCTCATCAAATATTGATACAATATCAAGTGTTGATATTAGTTTATACACTTTGTACGTGAGAGTTGCTTTTGCTGGATATAAAATCTTTAGTCCATATTTTACCCTTGAGCATCCTAAATATATTGTTCTACTTTCTTTTGGCAAAAAAGTTTCAATGTCAAAAGTCTAGTGATTTTCCAGTTTTCTCCTATTTTGCAAATGTAACAATATATTAAATTCTGTTAAATAGGGGTATTTGCTATATATTTGAAACAATTCACACTGTATTTCGCCATATCTAAGATGATCTCAAATTTACCATTATTTTCTGTATTGATGAAAAAGGAAAAATTACATTCCACTATGGGTTCAGCTTTTGGCTTTGTCCAGCAATGCCAAGGGTGGCAGAAACGTTTACTCAAGACGCCAAGCAATTCAAGAGAGGTGAGAGGGAGGCTAAGGAAAGACTCCCCAAGCTGCTCTCAAGCTCCTGTATTTATTAGGCATACATTATAAAGAAAACATTGTGCAATATGTCAGTGGCTACCTGCCAGTTAGAACATATAGAAAGCATGCAAAACAAAAACAAAAACAAAAACTACAAGGCATTCCCAAGACTACAGAAGAGCAGATGCTGAAAACAGGTGGAGAACAAGACAAGATATTCCATAGCTAACATTGTCTAAGGAATTCTTGAGCACAGGCAGGACCCAACCCCTAAATACACATTAACTAGATACTAGCCCATTGTTTTCGGAGAGCCAGAAAGCAGTGTAATGCATTCCCTATCATCTCCTTAACCAGGACATAGCTATTTGACTTCCAACATTCCAACTTAAGGGATATTAAAATGTAAAGAAATGTGGATTGCAGATGAAATTCAGGCTCTTCATTTTCTTTTTCTGTATAACAATTTACCATAAACATAGTGCTAAACTTAGTTACTAGAGTAGAACCTTGAAAGAATGAGAGGTAGACCAAGTTCCTTTTAATGATTGTGTAGAAAAGGTACACAACTGGATTAAGAAACTTGAATGATGCCATAGGTCAGTAGTATGAAGTTCCAGGTATTTGGAAATGTTAAATTTTGAAATGAGACTAAAGAGGCACAAAGGATAATGCAGTTTTGCCTGAATCCTCTGTCCACACTAGAGAGGAAGAAATTCTAATTAAGTAAAAGTATCATACATCACAGAAAATGATATAAAGTCAAAGTATATGTTAACTTTTAAAATCCTCTAGCTACTTCTTCAAATATTCCGTTTATTTACAATGAAAGACAAATCCTACCTAATGCTGAGTCCTACTAATTCTTGTTTTCTAAGAAAGGTGAAAGGGGAACCAAATGAAAAAGGATTAGAAGTACTTAGACATGTGTTCTAGTACTTTATCTTGACAGTCTGTGACCTTGACCAAGTCACTCATGCCGTCTGCAATTTCCTTTCCTTCACTCATAAAGCGGAGGCAAACTGGATGACCATGTCATTCATTGCTCTTAAAATCACGACTCCATTAAATCAGTTAACGTGCCTGGCTTGTAGCAGAAGCTCAAAATTATTTGTTAAAAGTATAATGTCTTAAAATGGAATTCCAGAAATCCTGAAAATCTGGAACTACTTACTACAAACTTTCAATCTTTTAAAGCTATCACTTCGCTAGCCACTGTTATCTCTGTGCCTTGCTACAGAGCCAAGGTTACCTCATAACTTCAGTGTTTCAGCTCATTTGGAACTGCAGAATCCTCAGTCGCAGCGGAGCCTTTCACTACACCCACCTGCGGCAAGGCCTATCTTCTTCCTGGCGGCCACACCCAAACCGGAAACCAGGACGTCCCTGGGGTTGACGGGAAGGCTCAGCTCGGCGGCACGCTCTCCGGCCCCGCCCCCTCCGGTGATGTCACCGTCCGCCCCTTGACCTCGCGGTCCCGCCCCCTTCCCTGCCTACCCGTAGCCAGCGGCGGCGGCGACTCTTGGAGGAGATGGAGGCATCCGAGCCGGTAGTCGCAGCTCGGGAGGAAGAGGCGTCCTGCTCTTCCTGGGTGGCCGGCAGGTAAGAAGATGAGTGTGAGCGCGAAGCATCGAGGGGTGGCAGGCGGGACCCGGGCGCCGGCTTTCTGCTGCTCCCGCTCGGGCGGCCAGGGAGCGCGCGCGAGGCCGCGGAGCCGGGCAGAACCGGCCCTGGGAGACGAGGGGAGCGCGCTGGGTGGGTGTGGCGCCTTGGGTTTAGACCTCGGCGGCTCTCGGCTTCTCTGAGGAGAAAGGCCAACTCTCGGTCCTTTCGCCCCTCAGTTCCAGTCGGGGTCTGCCATTCTCCCATGCACCGGACGTGGGGCGGGGGTGGAGTGGAGTGGAGAGGGCCCCGCCGAGAGTTCTGGCCCGGGTCGCTTGGTGTGAGCTTTCACAGCCCTGCTGCCAAACACGTTTCCCCCACCTTTCGGTGAAATGAAAGCTAAGAGCGCCACTGTGGGCGATCCCGCACTGAGATCCTCCTTTGAAAACTGTTACCAGAGGGAACTTGGTAATGATGAATCAGTGCCAGTCAGGACACCCGGAGTCCTGTGTTCACCACAGTTAAAAAAAAAAAAAAAAAAAAATCCAGGGAAAAACGTACGAGTTACTTATTCCCTAGTTGGTGTTTGTTTGTTTCACGTCTCTAACATTCCTGCAAAATTGTGGGAAATGTTCTTATGGTTCCTGTTTCAGTTACCTCGTAATTAATAAAACCGTTAGTTATATACTGCCCTCCACCAGAATACAGTATTCCAAAGAGAGAAGTGATGGATATATGATTTTGAGCTAATGGGAGCCTGTCCATAAACCTGTAGCTTTTTCGCCGGTTCAGATTGAAGGGATGTTTTCGGTACCATACTACCTGCAGTTGCCAGCATTGCCACATTTACTTGAGGGAAATTATGTAATACAAACAAAATCTCCCCTTATTTAAAAGGCTTTTTGATTGCCATATAGATCTTATTACAAAAATGATTTTTGAAACATACCAGTAAAGCAGAATTTTCTGAAAAATCAGTGCTAGTCATATATCATTAAGTGACAAAGCTGGTTAGAAAGGAGTTCATGTTTACTTAAGAGCTCTACCCACTAGACCATTGTCCTCCATGCAGGGAAGGCAGCTAGGGATAAGAAAACTGTGAAATGAGAAATTTTGTTTATTTTCATATTTTATCACTCTGCCAAAAGAACATATTTTGTATGTGTGTGTTTTTATTAGGTAGGTGATCTCTTAAACACAGCTGTCTCCTGGTTTGTGTTCATAATTGCAATCAGGAATATTTCTAATAGTTATCCATGTATAACTTAGCTAGAGCTGGTATCTTTTGATAATACCAATCAGTGTTTGGTAAGATAAATGATAACATTTTGATTAACTGTATATACAAATCCTTTGGCCTGTATATCAGTACCAGGCTTAGAAATTTGGATTCCAAAACCTCAATTTTGTGTTTTCACATGATTTTTAGAATCCTGTAATTGATAGAGTTTCCCAGAACCTGGAAAGGATTTACTTTTTGCCAAGATGATAATTGATCTTAGCTGTCACTGTGGCTCAGGCCATAATGTCCCAGGCTGGTTTCCTTTGCTTGGGAGCCATTCCTGTTTCCCAGGGTTCATCCTGTTTTCATTTTTCTTTGTATGCCATGCTGTGAAAAAGTTGGGATGAGCTGTGGTAAATGATGCATAAGTATAGCTTATCATGCTAGTATGCTTGTTTTAAAAAATGTGTTTTAATTTCCTTAAGTAATGTCTGTACCCAATGTGGGGCCTGGTCTCACAACCCTGAGATCAAGAGTTGCATGCTCTACCAACTGAGCCAAGCAGGCACCCCCTTTTTTTTTTTTAATTTTTAAAATTCATTCAACAGATACATTTTGGGTGCTTTCTTTGTGCGTACTTTGAGATGCAGTAGGCAGTATAGCATGGTGGTCAAGAGCTAGACTGCGTAGGTTCAGGTTCTGGCTCTGCCATTTACCTGCTCTGGAACCTCAGATGGGTTATTTAAATAAACTTCTGTGAGCCTCAGTTTTTTTTCCTCTGTTCAACGGAGATGGTAATAGTGCCTATCTTATAAAGTTGTTGTAAGGGTTAACTGAGTACATCTAAAGCACTTAAAACCATGTGTGACACAGTGCTCTTAAATTATTATTAAATGCCAGGTACAGTTTTAGGTATTTGGAATACATTAGTGAATTCTTAACAGATCATACATTCTCTTGGGGAAGACAGACAGTAAACAATTAGTAATTTGAAGAACATACAGCAGGTTAGTGAGTTAGGGAGTGACCTAAGGAGAAGGGGAGGCATTTCATTGAAAGGATGATCAGGACTGGTCTATGTAATATTTGCGAGGCAATATTTTAGTCGAGGCTTACGTGATAAGAGTCAGCCATTCAGAGATCTAAAGGGGGAACATTCCAAGCAGAGGAAAAAAGTATAAAAACTGAAGTGACTTTTTAGTGACTTTTAGTTTCACTGAAGTATAAAAACATGCTTGACTTTTTGGAGGAATAGCAAGTTGACCAGTGTGGGAAAGTAGTGGGAGTTGTAATTGAAGAGATGATTGGGAGACAGAACACCTAGACCCTTTTGCCCATGGTAATGTGTTTCAATTTTATTTAGAAAGTAGAGTTACTTAAGAATAGTTCTAAGTCAAGGAGTAACGTCTGACTACATTCTAAAAAATTTAGGTTGTTATATGGAGAATAAACTGAAGGGGGAGGGCAATGGTAGCACTAGAGAGACTAGTTAGGAGGCTTTTGAAGTAGTTCAGATGAAATACGATGATGGCTTGGCCTGAGATTGTACCAGCATGCAGATGGAGAAATGAGGGAACAAGTTAAGATCTCTAGAGTCTGGGCCTGCGCAAATGAGTAAATGGTGATACCAGAAATTGAGTTGGCAGAGATTGGGGAGGAATAGATTAAACAGGGAAATTGAATTCTGTTTGAGGCTTATTACGTTCATGAAACCGATTAAACATCAGAAGAGAGAGATTGTTCTAGCAGGTGTGGACAATTTGGATGCCAGAAAAGATGTCAAACGTGGAAAAATAAGTTTAGATATCCTCAGTATCTGGTAAATTCCATATATGGATTGAACAAGATTATCTAGACAGAGTGTGTTTATTAGAGAAGGTATATGGGGCACTCCCAACAAACTTCGGAAAATACGGATTCATCAGAATATATGTAAAACAATATCTGATAACACCTGAGAATTAAAACTATAGGCTTTAATTTTACAATACACACAGAATAGACATTCAGTGAATTTAATTTTCACCTATTTTTTAAATGGAAATAAAGGAGTGGAAAATATATATCTGGTTTGTAAAATCCTCTTTAGTAACTGCCATGTATAATTGAATATTAGATTACAGAACGTGAATATTAAATACCGAAACTTGCTCTTATAAGTTGTTTTTTATTTTTTCAGTACCAATACAAATTTGCCCATCATGTCAGCAGAATCTGTGGAGATTGATGATGCATTATACAGGTGAGAACCTTACGGAAACTGAAACTTATTTTCCTCATTTGTTGTTCTAAAGTGATGGAATACTCTATTTGAAAATACCATTAGACCTATGCAGAGTTTTATAAATATCCCAAGAGTCCTCTGAAGGTAAAATTAGCGTTTTGTCTGATTTTTCTTTTCTGTAGTCTGAAAGCTTGATTAATATTTAAATCTCAGTTCCTTTAGGTTTAGGTAATATGACTTAGAATGATTTTGGGTATGCTTGGGTGGTTCAATCAGTCCAGCTTCACATGATCTCGGGGTCTGTGAGTTAGAGCCTGGCGTCAGGCTCTGTGCTGACAGCTCAGAGCCTGGAGCCTGCTTCGGATTCTGTGTCTCCCTCTCTCTCTCTGCCCCTCCCCAGCTCACGCTCTGTCTCCCTCTCAAAAACAAATAAAAATTAAAAAAAAAAAAAAAAAAAGAGGGGCGCCTGGGTGGCTCAGTTGGTTAAGTGTCTGACTCTTGATTTCGGCTCAGGTCATGATCTCACAGTCTGTGAGATCAAGCCCCACGTGGGACTCTGCTGATAGCACGGAGCCTGCTTGGGATTCTTTCTCTCTCTGCCCCTTTCCGAACTCATGTATGCACGCACACTCTCTCTCTCTCAAAATAAATATTTTTTAAAAAATGTGATTTTAGATATAGTTGAAAAGGACAGGATGGGGGATGTAATAGGTTTCAAGGTACAGATTTTGGAGAAATTCAGGAGCTAATAGATACCACACAAGAGGAGTTAACAGAAAATGACTTAATGGAGGAGAGTGCTTCCAGAACAGTGCCAGATTGATGTGGAAGAAGATGTAGAAGAAGCACATACAGAAAATAAATTTGACCTTAGACAATCGAGCAGAAAGGTTCTGATTATTCAAGACTGCTTTTGACTTCTTTTACTTACGAAATGGACCCTTCTATGATATGGGCACTGAAGCTAAAGGAAATTGTGGAAGGATTGGTACCATGTAAAGACATATTTAGAGAAATGAAAAAGCAAAAAAGTCAGACAAATCATGATGTATTTCCATAAAGTTACACTGAGTGTGGTTTTATCTCTTGCCTACTCTTTCCCCTCCTCCACCTCTGCTACCCTAAGACAGCAAGACCACCCCTCTTCCTCCTCCTCCTCCTTCATATTCATTGTGAAGATGACAATGATGAAGACCCTTATGATCTGCTTCCACTTAATGACTAGTAAATGATCACCATCCTGTATAGTTAATAAATTGATTTGCTGTATATGAGTGTCTTCATATGAAAAATGAGTAACTGTACAGCAAGAACTGTATGAGACATTTTTGTGTCA